TTGCAAGGTAAAGGCCCTCCCGTTGATCGTCGATTTGCTCGAGCGGGCCCAGTAACGTCTCCATTGGAGACTTTGTTGTTACTGTGTCTGGCATATCGAATACCTCACGGGGAGCTTGCCAGGCTCTGCCGTGTGGGTGAGATACTCTCGGTAGCTTGCCGGGCTCTCCGAGAGGGGCAGAGGAATCGAACTCGGGTCGGCCATGTTGGCTGCGTGCAAGGCAAACGCCCTACCGCTGTGCTATCGCTCCTCCCGCATGGCAGAGCCTGGCAAGCTCCCCGTGACGTATTCGATATGCCAGACACAGTAACAACACTTGGTTGCAAATAAACAAAAATACCTGCTCCCACTGTCCAGATAGCAATGCCTTCTTTTTCGGGGGAGGGGCACACAAGGTGATGCTCAGGGGTTACTTACTCCTGTCTCTGCACTCAGGAATTACTTCTATTGGTACCAGGGGGACCATGTGTGATGCTGGGGATTGAACCTGGGTTGGCCACATACAAGTAAGTGCCTAACCCACTGTGCTATTTCTCCAGTCCCCCAGTTGTCAATACTTCTTTGTGGCTCTACCAAACATCCCATTTGCTACAGTGCCTGTGGGGTCAGGTTTGACTACTTCATGCCCCACAGATGTCTAAGAAAAATCTGGTTTCTTGTAACTATTGACAGTAGCTACTGTTTATTGCACACACATACACACACACGCGCGCGCGCGCGCACACACACACACATGCACACACACACTTTTATATTATGCACTAAGTATCATGCTAAGCGCCTTACATTATTTATTATCTCTAGTCCTTTCAAGAAACCTGTGAGATAAGCATCATTAGTCCCATTTTACAGGTGAGGAAGCTGAGTCTGAGAGAAAGGACACAACCTGCCAGGGATCATAGAGATCCTGAGTAGCAGAGACGGGACTGAAATCCAAGCATCCATGAATCAGAAGCTCAGGTTATTCTTTTGTCATTTTTGTTGACTTTACTAATTGAGGGCAGTATCGTGAAGTGAACCCAGGGCTTCAAGCACGGGAGGCAAGTGCTGAGCTCCACGCCTTGTCCCCAGGCTAATTCCTTCCCACAAATCTTCTGGTCACTCCACAAACAAGTGCTGCAGACCTGCCATCTCTCCAACATTGTTCTTCCTCTCCATTTTTTTTTCTTTTTAGGTCACACCCGGCAATGCACAAGGGTTACTCCTGGCTCTGCACTCAGGAATTACTCCTGGCAGTGCTCAGGGGACCATATGGGATGCTGGGAATCGAACCCAGGTCGGTCGCGTGCAAGGCAAACGCCTTACCCGCTGTGCTATCTCTCCAGCCCCTTCCTCTCCATTTTTGATGTGGGGATTACATCAAGCTCACCTCCTCTTTCAGTGGAATTTCCTTGCTCTGCGACAATGAAAGTCTCCGCATGGGACAAAAAAGTCCCTGAAGTCCATTGGCCAGGAAAAGGTCGAGACTCTAGAGCAGCAAAAAGGCCAAACAATGACTCACCTGCAGGTGCCAATGCCACTAGAAGGTTGTTAGCCACCAGGAGGAAGGGACTGTCCCGGCAGGCTGTGCCTGTTTCTGCTTAACTGTTCTCCGGCAGTAGCAGGAACCAAGACAAATATGTGGGATAATGGGATCCTGCTGAGATCTCTCAGACAAGAGGAGGGGCAGGAAGGAGAGTTGGAAATCCTTCTGGACTATTTTGCAATCTTTTCAAAATTGGTTGCAGGACTGAAATGTGTCGTTCTGAAGAAATCAACAGTATCATGTAACTCATCAGATCTGGGAGTAAATAAGAGGTGGCAAATTCTGTGTTGTTCCTGGGACATGCGGTAAAATAACGGTGACATAGGGGCCAGAAAGATAGTGTAGCAGGTGAGGTGCTTCTCTTGCATGCAGTCAAAATGGGTTCAATCCCTGGTACCCCAGATGATCCCCTGAGACCTGCAGAAATGATTCCTAAGCACAGAGCCAGGAGTAAGTCCTGAGCACTGCTAGGTATAACTGCAAAAATCCAACACCAAAAATAAGACCTATGCCTTGCATGCAGTTGATCGCAATTCAAATCCATGGCACCATATATGTCCCCAGACCATTGCCAGGAATCTCCCTTGAGGAAGCCAGGTATGCCCCCCACCCACCTCACATCACAAAAATGCAAAATGACATAAAGGTCTGAGGTATAAATTTAGAGGGGTAATAATCACTGTGGTCATATACTTTCCTTATTTGTCTCATGTTGAGATTGTTTTACTTATTCTGAGATGTGAAATATGCTTCTCTGAGAGAGAGAGAGACAGAGGGAGAGAGACAGAGAGAGAGAGGAGAGAGAGAGAGAGAGAGAGAGAGAGCGCTGATCTGGCCTGGTGCCTGAACACTAATGGAGCTTAGATGCTCATACTTTAAAGGACTCCTTGAATTGGCAGAACTGTTGGTAGCAATTTTCTATTTCTTCCCGTTAACTGAACCCTGATTTCTTCAGATGTCAGAAAAATTTGTCTGGGGAAGGTGTGTCCTTTCCTCAGACCCATGAGCTGAAACATGATCATCTTGATCTAGCTCCCCTTTGCAAATGATCCATTTAGTTAGTGTGGTGGCCACCTGATCCAGTTCTCAGCACAGACACATACCCGAAATACTGGAATGGCCTTCTGCAAAGATTTTTCTCTCTTCTGGGGGAAGAGAAACAAATCCCACATCCTTTTCTACCTGTCTTCTGCCAGAGTTGTCACAGTGGAGACAGACAAGAAAGACAGACAGCAGGTGTCTTGGTGACTTCATTGCACAGAACAACCTGAAACTGCACCTGCAGATTTCTGCAGTGACATAACCCTGCTCTATGGTTTCAGTTACTTTCAGTTCCTCTCCATGACGTGCTGTTTAAAGAGAAAGATCTTGAAGCCAATACATGATGCAAGTGCAAACAGAACCCATCTGAATCAAGAGGAGACTAAGCTGAGGTCAGACGCACTGTGCCTTCAGTGACACAGCCTTCAAAGGAATTCAGAGGCCGAGAAAATGACCTATCTCAGAAGAGAGAGAGAGAGAGAGGAGAGAGAGAGAGAGAGAGAGAGAGAGAGGAAAGACTGAGGCAGAAAGTTGGGGTGGGGTAGGGATAAAGCAGAAACCAAGGCAGAAATTACACAAGCAGGGAGATACCAAGAGATTCACAGACAGAAAAACAGAAGAGAGACCAGAGAGAACAAGGAAGAGACTGGCGGGGGTGGGGGGGAGACAGAAAGACAGACAGACAGACAGACAGACAGAATGAATATGGGTGCTGGGGGTATAAGAATGGGACAGGCAGGCCACTGAGGTCATAGAGCTCACATTCTGGGCAGCACATGATAAGCAAGTAAACAAATTGGAGAGGTGAAACACTCTTAGGCAACTTTCTAAACATCAGTTCAAATCAGGCCTGAGTACCAAAGAAGCGATCACCATCATTGCCGTCATTGTCCCTGGTTAATCATTGGTGCCAGGCACTGTGGGAGTCAAAAGATGAGGGAAGACATAGACCCTGCATTCAAGAACTCTGTGGGACCAGAATCCATGTTGGGCCATATTCCGTTCAGAAGTCAGGCAATGAGTGATGCAGAGGACAAAGGAATTCCTCTGGGTTACCAAGGTTGGGGTAGGCGAGACCCCTGTCTCTCCTTTTTCTCCCACACATGTTTTATATCCGCTACCCTCTTTTCCAAGAGGGAAGGAAATATTCTGAACAATTGCCACTCTTCTTTCACATAAGGCCACTGTTCCCGAGAGAATCAAGTGGGCCTTTTCTTTCTCCAGTGAAGTGAAAAATATAGGACGTGTGCGTCTGGGTGGCGCGTACATGCATGGTAAGTGGTAAATGTCGCGAACACATACAGACACTCCACAAACCCTTCGGCCCTTCCTTCATCCGCTTAAACTCCTACCCACTTAATGTGTTTATGAACCTGCAGCTACTGACTGTGAACTGCCATATCGAGTTATAAAATAGACATAAGCTGGCCAGCTGGGTTTCCACGCCCACACGCATACCCTCAACCTTAGCAACATTTCCGCCCTGGATCACACAAGCCGGGGCACACTCTCTCACACTCTCACACTCACGCACCCTTCCCTCCCACAGGCTTTTTATTTGAACTCTCACAGGGCATCTGGCACCTCTGAGATAGGAGTTTCAGGGACGAAAGAAGGGGAAGGGACCCGGGGTGGGGAGGGGAGGGGAGGGGAGGGGGAGGAAACGAAATCAGAACTATTTTTTTTGGGGGGGTCACACCTGGCAATACACAGGGGTTACTCTGCACTCAGGAATTAGTGCAGAGGAGCACCCTGGAGGTGCTCAGGGGACCGTATGGGATGCTGGGAATCGAACCCTGGTTGACCGTGTGCAAGGCAAACGCCCTACCCGCTGTGCTGTTGCTCCAGCCCCAAAAATCAGAACTATTTTGAGAGGGATCTAAAAGTGTGGCAGCCTAGCCTGGGCCTCTCCTATCACTGTTCTTTATTTGTACATTCTGTGCTAAGAAAGGGGAGAGAGAGAGAGGTGGGGGGGGGGAGGGAGGGAGAAAGGAGAGGGGGAGAGAGAGAGAAGAGAGAGAGAGAGAGAGAGAGAGAGAGAGAGAGAGAGAGAGAGAGAGAGAGAGAGAGAAACTTTTTTTATTCATTGGGCAATTGTCCAGCCTCTTGGCGCCCAGCCCACAGGCTGTGAACTCCACGTCACCGGAGCTGAGGCTCTGAAATGAGGAAAACGTCTCACTGCACACAGGTTCAAACGAAGGAACTTGGCACCCAGGTCCCTTCCCCTTCTGGGCGGCAACTCTCTCTCTCTCTCTCTCTCTCTCTCTCTCTCTCTCTCTCTCTCTCTCTCTCTCTCTCTCTCTCTCTCTCTCTCTCTCCATCCAGGGTGAGGGGGGTCTCCCGAGCCCAGAGGGACAACTGAGGCCGGGAGGCAGCGCAGACCCCACCCCCAGCGGAGGGACCGAGGTCCCCGCTGGAACCGCAAACCTGAAGAACCGGGAGGGACGTAGCTCGTAGCTCGGGCATACTTTCGGCTCCCCGGTTGTTTTCCTCCTGCCCACGCTGCAGGTTTTTCAGGTCCGCGCTGGAGCGTGCACTCCCAGGCGTAAATAAACGTGCGCTCCCCGCCCCGCGTCAGCCAGCCGGCTATTTAAGCGGCTGGCAGCAGTGAGCGCGGCTTGCAGACGCAGCGCTCGCCCGTCCCGTCCCGTCCTGTCCCTGCTCCTTCCACGTAAGTAGCTGGCAGAGGGTGGTCTGGCAAGGGAGAGGAGTGAACTGGAGGGGAAACCGGACCCCAGGGTGGGACTGCGTTGGGTGGTTCCGTTTGTTTTGGGGGGGGGCAAGGAAAGGTGAAAGGCGGGAAGGTGACAGGGAAGAGCTGGTTCTACAGTCGGAATCCACACAACTTTGTGTGAGCGGGACGGAGTGGATTCAAAGTCAGCGCTTGATGGGGCCAGCAGGTTCGGAGTTTCTCTATTGCCTCTGAATGACCCTTGGAAACCAGAGCTTGAGAGTGGACCCAGTGCATGTGGACTGTTCCAGGGCGATAAAACCGATGTTGCTGTTCTACATCTCGGTCTGAAATATCCTCTGAAATGGATATTTTGTGTTTGATGTGTGTGTGTGTGTGTGTGTGTGTGTGTGTGTGTGTGTGGGAAATATCCTCTGAAATGGATATTTTGTGTTTGATGTGTGTGTGGATATTTTGTGTTTGATGTGTGTGTGTGCTGCATCCCATAGAGGGGACTTGGCTGTGCCTTCACTGCCGCTGTTACCAGGGCTGTTGACTGTTCCTTCTCACTCTCAGGAGTATATTTCTAGCCATGGGGCCCCTGATCTTGTTTAGAGGAATCCCCTGCTGGGGGCATGGAGAACAGAAGAAATGCAGGTTTGTGATAGCAGAGCCCAATAGTATCTGGGTGAGCTGTTCAGAAAATAGGAATAAGGGTCATCAACTAAAAAAGCCCAAACCAGACCATGGTGAGAAGGTTCTAAAGAGAAAAAGAGGGCCGGAGAGATAGCACAGCGGGTAGGGCGTTTGCCTTGCAGGCAGCCGACCCAAGTTTGATCCCTGGCACCCCATATGGTCCCCCAAGCACCGCCAGGAGTAATTCCTGAGTGCATAAGCCAGGAGTAACCCTGAGCATTGCTGGGTATGACCCAAAAAGCAAAAAAAAAAAAAAAAAGAATTGGGGAAAGTGCTCCTGGAGTTAACACTGCCATTGCCAGGCTCAGTGGTGCATTTAGCGAAATAGGGGTGAAGATGGCCACAACAGGCAAAGAAGCCAAGGAGCGGGGCTCAGAGGTCCAGGAGGCGCAGATATGAGAGGATTTATGATTAGACAGCATATTCATCAAATGCAAATAAGATCATAGTTAGGAATGAAGCATGCCGTTCATTCCATAGATCATTCCTGTGGGTAAAGGCTCTGATGAGGGATTGAAGAGATAGTACAGGTGTTAAGGTGCTTGCCTTGTATCTCATCGACCCCTGATGGAATGCCCAGCACTGCATATGGTCCCCCACCAGGAGCACAGAGCTCAGGGACTAAGCTCAGAGAGGTTAGGTTCTGGGCTAGGTGTGGCCCAGAAAACCAGGAAGGGGGGAGAGAAAGAGAGAGAGAGAGAGAGAGAGAGAGAGAGAGAGAGAGAGAGAGAGAGAGAGAAACATCTGTAGTGACAGAAAGTGGAGTGGACGGAGTGGATCGGGGGTGAAATGTGGAAAAGAAGGATAAGAGGACGGGGTGATTAAGGAACATTTGCAAGGAGCATTTGGGGTGATGACTATGTTCACTCTTGTATTTGAGTAGCTCTTGACATAAGTGGGAATTTATCAGACTGTACACTTTAAACAGGAATAGCATTCTATGTCAATTATACCTAAACAATACTTTAAAGATATATATATATTTAGTAATTAAAAGCATATCTAAAACAATCCAATTTATGTAGCTTATGCAATATACTGAAAACTGAGAATGAGGATTTGGAGGGAAAATTAATTCAACAACAAAGGTGGAGGACTGCAATATAGATTGTAGACGTGGAGGTTAGCGGGACTCTAGAGAGTCCAGCTCAGCGTCTGGGGACCTGGAGCACCTGGGGCCTGGAGCTAGCTCAGATGGTGGAAGGCGTGCCAAGTGTGTGTAAGGGCTTTAGTCCAGTCTCCAGAATTGTGTGGTCTCTCAGCCTCACCCCTCCATCATCTAGGACTCCTGCAAATGGCCCCTATTAACAAATGAAGCCAGAGGTGGGCTCTGCCCAAGCAAATCAAATCATTGATGGGAGGAGGCATTGGCCACATCCAGCAATGCTCAGGGCTCGCTCCTGTCTCTGCTATCAGGGGCCACTCCTGGTGGAGCTTGGGGGACCACATGCAGGTCAAATTTGGGTCAGCCACATGTAAGGAGAGTCTTAACCGCTGTATCACCTCTCCTCCCCTTTGATGTAAAGTTTTGAAAACTCCGGTTGGTACTAATGGGAATCCAGTGACTCAGGATCAGTGAGACCCAACAGTCTTATTTGCCACCTGAAGACCATGAAGTCCGGAGATGGGGCGGGGCTTATCCCCGTCACGTAGTCCCTGTGTCTCAATGTCACTGTCAAGGGAGAATAGCAACAAGGACCCCACCCCATCATCATTTCTGAGTCCTCAAAACCACACATGACCCTTGAGCAAGGGTGGGCTCTTAGGGGCTTTGCAAACTGATTCCTGGAACTTCCCCATTCCCGGGGAATTGGGCAGAAGAGGGGGGAGAGATGCGGTGCTAATGGGCTATGCGAAAGGAATGATATGAAGGAATGTTTCAAAACAAAAGCTGATGTTTTCTGCAAAGTATCTTCTATAAAGTTGGGGATCACACTTAGAGAAAAGAATCCCAGGAGCCAGCTCTGTGGAAAGACACAATGTTCCTGAGCTCCCAGTTCTGGGCGTTGGCTGTCTGGCTCTATGGGGTCTTTTCATTCTGGCTTCCATGTCAACCCCAGGGCAAAAAACAGTGAGTGGTGAGGGGTCAAGTTTGTCTCTGTGAAATCTGCTCTTCCTGTCTTTCACCTCAGCTCCTGGGTAGTACCAAGGTGAGAACAGGGGTCCATAAAGTCCCCTCGCTCCTCATCTGCTCTGCTTATGGGTTGTCTCCCACCTTCCCTCCAATCTAAAGAGATTTCTGGGGTCTCATCCCTCCGGGGTTTTGCTTATCTACTCAGCTCAACTTAATGTAATGACGTTAATACACAGTAATTGTTTAATGAGTTGTTTATGAGTTCTATAATGAGGTTTAGTAACTAGGTTCTAGCAAGTTATCTGAGAGTTCTTTGAAATGGCATCTAAATATTGTTGCCATAGGGCAATTAGGAGAATCAGAGTTTTCTATAATCCTGGGGCTGGGGCTCAGTGGCAGAGCATGCATGAGACCTGGGTTTGAGCCTCAGAACCACCACCACCAAACAAATACACACTTATACCGTGTAGTGTCTACCGTCTTCGTGGCCCCGAGTTCATGGTTATTGGTCTTACCGGGAGCCTGGTGTGAATCTGGCACTTCAGTTCTCTCGATTCTGAACACACGTTGTATCTGGGATGTGTGAGCCCTAACTAGCAAGTTCCGGCTAGTCTGTGCTCTCTACTTGCTGGAGGAATGCCTCCATCTCCCTGCAGGCTGTGGCCGCGCCCTCCCCACAGAATCCTCCACCATGGGAGAGGATGATAAGTCTTCTGGCGAATCTTGGTAGATGGCAACTGAGGTAGAGCATGGCGCTAGAGGTTAGACATCTGGAATATGACTGTAGCTCTAACTCAGCTACAAGGGAGGAAAAGCAGAAGGAGCCCCCAAAGATCAGTTTGGTTAGGGGAATACCAATACAACTCCCTTTCCCTCTCAAAAATTTCTGATGTGAGTAATGGAGTCGATGGTCATCTGTGAATACAATACATAAGGTACAAGAGAATAAAGTGAGTTGCCTGGAATCTTAGGGTTAGTTGATGGCTAAACTGGCCCCGGCACCCAGGGCCTCCCAAAACTTTGTGTCCACACTGTCCGATCAGAGAGCTGGTGTATCAATTCTGGCTCTGCCAAAAGAAGTTCAGGCTGAATGCTGGGAGCTCAAGCATTACTCATCACAAGTGCAAGTCACTCTGATGGGGCTGGGAGATGGATCAAAGGGCTGAGACAGTCAGGGGCCCCAGTTCAATCCTGGCACTGCAGATCTCCTAAGCAACTCTAGGAGTGATATCCTTATACTGAGCCGGAAGTAGCCCGAGCACTACTGAGTGTTCCCTACCTCCCCCTCCAAAAAAAACAGACACTGCAAAACACAATATACTCACCCTCAAATATAGTAAATCCAATTTTTTATAGCTAGTTTTAGGCTATAGTGCTTCTAAAAGGGAATTCTCTCTCTTTATCTTCCTTCCTTCCTTCCTTCCTTCCTTCCTTCCTTCCTTCCTTCCTTCCTTCCATCCTCTCTCTCCTTCCTTCCTCTTTCTCCTTCCGTCCTCTCTCTCCTTCCGTCCTCTCTCTCCTTCCTTCCTCTCTCTCCTTCCTCCTCCTCATCCTCCTCCTCATCTCTCTCTCTCTCTCTCTCTCTCTCTCTCTCTGTTTTTCGAGCCACACCTGGTAGTACTCAGGAGTTTCTCCTGGCTCTGCACTCAGGAATTACTTCTGGCCATGTTCAGGGGACCATACGAGCTGCTGAAATTCAAACCTGGGTCAGCCACATGCATAGCAAGAGCGCTACCTTTTATACTATCTCCTGGCCCTTAGGAGGAAATATTTTTAATGTAATATAGACATTGGTTGCTAACATATACAATAATTGGTATAATCAATGATTAAAACAATTTGTTTTAAGTTCCTTCCATACAGACATTTGTTTCTGTGACTCTGTTCTTGCTTAAACAACTTGATCAGACTTGTTTTCTTTTCTGTTCTGGTTGTAACTTTGTGATTTACAATCTATTTATTGTTGACCAAATCCAAGAATGGGTCACTTAGAGGTCTCGCCTCTAATTTCTAATTTTATGTATTATTCCCACTTCATACTAGGAGTGATCCTTAAGCATTGAGCCAGGAGTAGCCCCTGAGCACTGTGGGTATAGCTTCCCCAAGCAAAAACACCAATATACATTCTCAAAAAGTTTTTGCTTTGATATTTGCTTCAGAATCTTGTTAGTTTATGGCCATGTTTGGGTTCCAGTAAACATTCTTTTAAAAGTAAAGAATTTGGGCTCAC